CCAGAGTTATGTAACCGGAGCCCGAACTAGTTGTGTAACTGGACCCCGACCAGTTGTGTAACCGCAAGCCTAGCATGAACAAACCAAACAAACAATTCAAAACAAGCAACATCTGAAGCACAACCATGCACGAACTGAAGCCTGACCATGCACAACCCATAGCCCAAGTGACACCCCCGGAGCCCGACCAGTTATTTAACCGGAGCCCGACCAGTTGAGTAACCGGAGCCCGACCAGTTATTTAACCGGAGCCCGACCAGTTGTGTAACCGGAGCCTGACCAGTTGTGTAACCAGACCCTGACCAGTTGTGTAACCAGACCCCGACCAGTTGTGTACCGCAAGCCTAGCATGAACGAACCAAACAAACAACTTCTGGAGCACAACCATGAATGAACCAAAGCCCGACCATGCACAACTCAAATCCCAAGTGACACCCCCAGAGCCCGACCAGTTATTTAACTGGAGCCCGGCCAGTTGAGTAACCGAAGCCTGACCAGTTGAGTAACTTTACCCCGACCAGTTGAGTAACCGGACCCCGACCAGTTGTGTAACCACAAGCCTAGCATGTACAAATCGAAGAAACAACCTCTGGAGCACAACCAAGCATGAACCAAAGCCCAACCTGTTACACCCCCAGAGTTATGCAACCGGAGCTCGAAGCAGTTGTGTAACCAGACCCTGACCAGTTGTGTAACCACAAGTCTAGCATGAACAAACAAAAACAATTGAAAACAAACAACATCTGAAGCACAACCATGCACGAACCGAAGCCCGACCATGCACAACCTGAAGCCCAAATGACACCCCCGGAGCCCGATCAGTTGAGCAACCGGAGCCTGACCAGTTATTTATCCGGAGCCCGACCAGTTGTGTAACTGGAGCCCGAGCAGTTGTGTAACCAGACCCCGACCAGTTGTGTAACTGCAAGCCTAGCATGAACAAACCAAACAACCTCTGGATCACAACCATGCATGAACCAAAGCCCGACCATGCACAACCCGAAGCCCAAGTGACACACCCGGAGCCCGACCAGTTATTTAACCGGAGCCCGACCAGTTGTGTAACCGAAGCCCGACCAGTTGTGTAACCGGACCCCGACCAGTTGTGTAACTGCAAGCCTAGCATGAACGAACCAAATAAACAACTTCTGGAGCACAACCATGCATGAACCAAAGCCCGACCATGCACAACCCGAAGCCCAAGTGACACACCCGGAGCCCGACCAGTTATTTAACCGGAGCCCGACCAGTTGTGTAACCGAAGCCCGACCAGTTGTGTAACCAGACCTCGACCAGTTGTGTAACTGCAAGCCTAGCATGAACGAACCAAATAAACAACCTCTGGAGCACAACCATGCATGAACCAAAGCCCGACCATGCACAACCCGAAGCCCAAGTGACACCCCCGGAGCCCGACCAGTTATTTAACCGGAGCCCGACCAGTTGTGTAACCAGAGCCCGACCAGTTGTGTAACCGGACCCCGACCAGTTGTGTAACCGGACCCCGACCAGTTGTGTAACCGCAAGCCTAGCAAGTATACATCTCATCCAAGCCCCACTAAACTAAATAGCCCCAGAGCCCAACCAAACTCCATTCCTAGCTCGGCCAAACAAAAATCTCCTTAGCCCTAACTAAAATCCTCCACTTGCCCTAGAAACCAACTATGGAGCTATAGCAAACAAAAATTGAGCTCCGACGAAAAAAAGAAATCCGGATTTCTAAGAAATATACAACCATGGAGGCCTAGCAAACAAACCTGGAGCACTAATACACAATCAACCATTGGTGCACAACCATGCACGAACCGGAGCCCAACCATGAACAACTAGAAGCCCAACAAATCACACCCCCGGAGCCCGTGCAATCGCAAGCCTAGCAAGCAAATATCTTATCCAACCCCCGAACAATGTTCTAAGTGGGTTGCCACAGGAGGTCCATTTTGGGGCCAACCCTTTTTGTCATATACATCAATGACAGACGAGAATATTACAAACCACATCATATTTGCACATGACACTAAGATCTGTGGTAAAGTGGGAAGTGAAAGCCATATTGAAACCTTACAAAGAGATCTACAACTTCACAAATGGTCAGATGACTTAAATGTCGATAAATGCAAGACCTTGCATGTGGGGCATAACAATCCACGTCACAACTACCAAACTGACAGCACTACCTGTCAACATAGATGAAAAAAAGGAGCTTGGAGTCAGAGTCCATCACATGAGGCATAACGCAACTATCAAATCATCAACATCTTGGAGTCAGAATCCACCATTCACTGACAGTTGTACAACAAGTGGGAGTGGCAGTAAAAATGCAAACCAAACCCTGGGAATAATCATGCGTACTTTTACCTTCAAGGAAAAGAAAGTAGACCTTCAATTGTATAAGTTTCCAGGTGCGCCCCCACATGCATTATTGCATCCAGGCATGGAGACCTCATCTTAAGAAAAACATAGCTGCTCTACAGACATGTCTTACCAGAGCTATGGAGCCATGTCTTACGACAAAAATCATACCAGAGCTTAATCATCTCTCGTATCAGGAACGGTTGAAGGCCACGGGGCTAACAACACCACAAACCAGGCATGACAGGGCGGACTTCATAGAAACCTTTAAAATACTAAACAATTTGGAGGATGTCGATCAGGACAATGTCTTCAAAAGGTCAGATGTTACACGAACAAGGAGCAACGGGTTCAAACTCAAGCCAGAATGTTGGCCAGGAAATAGCAGATGCATTTTCACCCATAGGGTTGTAAACCCGTGGAACCGCCTACCCGCCGAAGCCGTAAACGCCAAACCTCTGCTGGGTTTTAAAATACAGCTGGAAAAGATAATCAAGGCAAATGGGGGACCTTTGACAAGCCGCCGGCTTATTGTCCTCATCGAGGCCACTAGTGTATAGTGGCCCTCGGGTAAATTCAGTTCCTGGAGGGGTGTCCCCGCTCCTTCCCGTTAGGAAGTTGTTCATATATTCCAGTATTTGTACACTGGACTGTCGCTTGTCACTAAACTTAGTTTATAAAACTATTAGCTTGAATATTACCTTATTCGCGAGAATAATTCTGAATACGCAGTGCAATAAAATTGAAGAATACGACTTTAGGTTGGGCGGCCGCATAAGCGAGCCTAGCATGAGGACAGGCAATTGTAAATGCTTCACCCTTCAAGTGAAAATTGGCAACAGAACCTAAATACCCAACCTACTATACCCCTAATTAAACGTAGAATATAAAATTAATTTATACACGATAAAAACTATTTTTGATACGCAGTACATGAAAGTCGATAATAAATGCGTCTTGGAAGGTGGTGGTGAGGGGTGGAGGGTCGACCGCCGCGTTAACGAGCCTAGCCTGACGACGTGGTAGTTTGACACTATGGGGAAGTGTAGTCTACATAATATCCTATCCATATAATGTTGGCAAATCATGATCCTCAAAATCTTCCACAATATCCGAGAGAGGACAGACTATTTAGCATTAGTGGAATACAAACATTTGAATACCACAGAACCCGGATGAAAAAAAAAATACGGAAACAATAACCCTCGGAGATATTACAAAAACCCTTAATATTATAATAGCGAACAAATGTATAATGCATTAAGCATTGTAGGTAGACTATATATTCAGGCGTACCTCCCAACTGCTCAGATAGCAAAATAAATTTATCAGCCTTACCTACACGGGAACAACCTAGCTCACGCCGCTGCTTCCTGACGACTGGCGGGGTCAACGATGAGCCGGAAGCGACCCACCGACCCTGCAGAGACCCTCTGCCTAAAATTATTGGAACGCCATATTGAAATGCCTAACGCATAGCGCCAGGAGTGTGTAAATTAATATTTATATAGGCATTATAGGCCTTTCTAAAGTAATTAATAGATCTAAATATCATATATTGTCTCACAAACGAATTATTTAAGTTAATATTTTAATTATGCCAGAAACAAGTATCATCGCACACAAGGAGATTCGTCAGCGTATTTTTTTTTATTTTTTTTATTGATATATAAAAAAGTTTTTAAATTCTTGTAAAGCCACTAGCATGCATAGCGTTTCGAGCAGGTCCTTATTCCTTTAGATTCAGCTACACTGAAGAAAAAGTTCCAAGCAGCACCAGCTATTAATTGTGAGCCCGTAGCGGACTTGGCATAGGCGCGGGGCTTGAACCGTTTATTTGTGATTGATTGATGAAGATTAAGCCACCCAAGAGGTGGCACGGGCATGAATACCCCGTAAGTGGAAGATATTTTTTTGGAGTGAATGTGATCTTTGGTCGTGAAAGGATATACTGCGTGCTGTGCTCGCATTTAAATCGTCAGTCTGTGGCTGCTATCACGGGGTCCTTGTTTGTGTTGCATCTGACCATAAATAATCATCATTGCGTTTCTTAACATTAATAGCCCAAATTAGACCATCTTGCTTTTAAATTAGGCACAAAAGTAGCAAGTAGCGAAATTAAAAATTTGGGACCGCGGGGCTCTCAAAAGTAGCCCAATTCGCTACTTGTAGCTCAGTCTGGCAACCCTGAAACTTGCTTCTTTCGCCTTTATTTATTTATTTATTTAGTTATTTATACAAGAAATTACATTGGGTTTATGAGAGTACATAGCATGATGTGTTTACATTTTTGTAAAGCCTCTAGTACGCATAGTGGCCTTCATATTATCTATGATTTTATTTAGCTTAAGGGGCATAAGATATATCTTAATTAGAGTTTTGTATCTATTTCATTCATTCGCAGATATTATCATACTATACCCAAGGTTCACTAATTTTGTTTTTCTTATTAACAAGCGTATATACACAATAACGACCATATACGTCAGAGGAAAAACACGAGCTTAAAACCAAACAAAAATCTTTAGCATACACTTCATAATCCTAATCAGATGATTCTGTAATTATTTTAGATGAATTTACAATGTGAATATTTAATTAAAAATGTATGACTGCATCAAAAGTAAATATATTCGTAATGCACAACTCAGCACATGTAAACACGTTGGTCGACACGCTGCCATTAGCGACCACTCGAGCAGTCGTCGGCTCCACTAACTCCTTTATACATACTGCATGTAACATAAAGAAGAGGAGAAGAAGTGCTTAGAAGGACATCAGTCATAATAAGAAGTTGTCCAAATTATCACACCCGGTCGTTATTTTATAAAAACAAAGCAAAATGCAGAGTGATGATGTAAGTACATCTGTTTCTGTAACACCAGAAATATCTTTGATACCCCCAGTCAAACTAAATTTGTGCAAACACTCCATGCAAATAAATGAACACAGTCTATGTAACTTGCTCCCTATTGAATTAAAAAATTGTCCAACCTATGTCTTATTTTATAAATACAAGAGTTCTTACTTTCTTGTATAGCCACTAGCAGGCATAGCCTTGCAGGCACGTCCATAATCCTCAGTATCCTGGCTGGGGAGGATTGACTGGGTGACTGGGCGTCAATACTTAACTGTAGCCTCTGTTCACCCCACAGTGAATGGGTACCTGGTTAAACTATTTGGCGGGTCTTGTTCCAGGGGAAAATTAGGATTAAGAACTTTCCCGAAACACTATGTGTGCTATTGGCTATACAAGAATGTAAGAACTCTTGTATATATTGTATAAAAAAAAAAACCTGCCCTGAAATGCTATCCATGTTAGTGGCATTGCAAGAATATAAGAAAACCAATGTTACGTACTCTCGCAAACCTATTGTACCTTGTATAGAAATAAATAAAATTAAGCAAATTTAAATTTTGTCCTGAAGGGCGAATTTATTAGGCAGCACCACTTATCCTTAGCAGCATGTACAGCACCCTCAATAGGAAGAAAACCCGCTAGGTTCTTCATCCTGTCACTTCTACCCAGACTCAACTGGGATTTGCTTAACTGACTCGAGTGAACAGCTTATCAAACAGGTTTAACATTTACCAACCCCTAAAATTTACGTTATCTCATAGGTGCAAAATGGGGAATCTTTTAAAAATTAAGTATATATTTTTGACAACTAGTGATTTCCTAACTTTTCCTAACCAAACAGGGGTAATTTCTTAACCCTGACCACATAAAGGTAGTAATTACAGAGTGCATAGGGAAGGAAACCCTGAGTACATGCAGCTCCATAAACTCCTGGCTTGCACGCCTCCATGTAAGAAAATGGCCTCGAGGGCAAAAAACTCCAAAGAAAATGGAAACCCGGAGCCAGAGCGACATTGATTATCAAGCACAGACATCGGTATTAAAACTGAACTGTGTGCGGCTCAGGCCGGTTCCTTCCCCCTCCCCCCAGGCATGTCGGGGAGGAGAGGGCAAACTAGGGGGGAGCCGGTGTACAAAATTTTGGTGGTTTACGTTGCGGGGAGAGTTCTTTTAATAATTTTGAGGTTGCAGTTTTGTTTTAACCATGCAGTAGTCTGTTTTGATTTGCCTGTCTTTCTGGGTACCTTTCCTTGGATGGTGGCAAAGATGATAAACTTTAAGTGTAAAGTATTCGTAGGCCATCGCTCCCTGTGCCTCTCTGATGGGGCTAGGTTCTGGCTTGTGGTCCTTGATAGGCTAATATAACTCTGCAACTAATGGCACCTAGTATTATAAATTTATTCAGTGTGATAGCTTCAGGGAGCCAATGGGTCTCCCCACAGAAAGTACTACCAACACATGGCCGACACCAATCTACCTTACATGTTAATATCAAACATTTATGGTCATTGGTTACCAAGGAATGAGTCGCAGAACATGGGAGACTGGGTTTTAGTCTTTGAACAGGTGGAATTTGGAAATATTTTTACCAAATGAGTACACCAGATTTTGGTCTCGGTATTTGGCATTCCTGCTCAAGTCTTGAGGCTTGGTCATTTTGTGGATTTAATCTCTGGTACCAGAAACAATGCACCTAGAGGCTATTGATTTATCATCATTCAGCTGTAGCTGCATATCAGTGAAATAGTTAATTACCACCAATATGACCACCAACATCTAAAGTTCATTACAATTTACTTTTTACACAAGCCTTTGCTCTTTACACCAGCTTGTACACACTACATGAATCTACTTTTTAACATTCTTGATGTCATTACTGTATAGCATTTTGTAATCATTGCACCCCTGGTACCCATTACATCACACTGTTCATATCCAGAGATAAGCTGCTCTAGGTTAACCTTTCTCCATCATCCTTGTGTGATAAAAAATATCCTGTTTAGATTACCTTATGTTTTTGACCCCTTTTTGTCAGTTTTCATGTTCCAATTTTATTTCTGGCATGGTTTTCTATAAATAATTTAACTTTTCCCAATATACATTAGTGCAGCCTGCAATAACTTGTATCACTGTAGACAATATTTAATAATTTTATATGCTAAAATAATTTAAATCTCTTTTCTCCTTTAATTTTTGAATATTTTTTTTGTTTCAGATAACATGGAGTATCATAAACAAAACTTTTTGCTCATTTAAAATTCAGTAAGTACCATAGACAGTTTATTCCAAATGCTTTACTTTTCAATATTGTATTGTACAGTATGTGACATTAGCCCAGAGTCAGCAAAATACTGTACAGTGTTCATGATTATATTGCCTAGTATTTTCTTATGTAAATAATGTATTGACAAATTTTCAACTACCAGCTAACTATTCATGAATTGGTAACATTTATAATTATTTGGATTTGAATTAAATTATAGTAATGATACACATCAACAATTACTAAAATTCTAAAATATTTTATAAATTTTTTCCAGAACAAAAAGCCAAAGATTTTGTAGAAATGAATACAACCTAACAGGATTATGCAGTCGTAGCTCCTGTCCTCTTGCAAACACACAGTATGCTACTGTCAGAGAAGAGAAAGGCATTATTTATCTATACATGCGTACTGCTGAAAGGTGTGTTAAATTTTTTTTGTTTTATAGTGCCACTGTCATTTTCAGTGAAGCATTTAATTCGAGACCTATATCCACTCGGCTACCTAAATGTATTCACCTAGATGTTCTTGCATTGTTGAGCTCGAACTGCTAAGCTCTGCTTTCCCAACAATCAGTTGATTAATATTGTGACTTCCTGCATATACCTTACCTGAGCCTAATTGCTTTGTTGATTTCCTGTAGATATGCGTGTTACTGTCATGCATCTTGTCTTCCAGTGTGGTGACACCCTGTTCCCTGAGCCTTTCACTTTATAGGCTTTATAGGGAGTCCCCCATTATATGAATATTCACTTTACAAATGCCCACCAATACGAATCGCCTTCCAAGTCCCTGTTTTTTGCATCTCGGTCCACTATACATGCAAATCAAAATGTCCACATGATCCACTAATGTTACTCTGTGACCCACATTGCCTGAATCAGCAGTACTGTGATCCTCGTATAGAGTGCTAATCCTTCCTTCCTTTCAAAGTTCTAATAAAGCAAGGTAATTTCATATGTATCATTTATGCAATTAGTGTCTGTACCAGACTAGTTCTGGTATTATTTTCCTTGATGCCTATGATCCCTAGCCATTAGTTCTTCCCTCTATAATTCTTATGCACATATTCCCCCGTCAGGGATTCATCCCTGCACCTATTTCCCTGTCATTGTTGTGTAGGCAGCCTCACTGAGGCTGCATACTGTTGTTATGCAGCCTCAGTGAGGCAGTCACAGTCAGGCTATCACAGTTGGTCACAGTCAGTCAGTCAGGTTTTTACAGTCAGCCAGACAGGCAGCAAGAAGTGTTGGGGGCTGGGGAGCTCTACAGTGTTTTTGTAACTTGGGAGGGATAAACAAGAGATATTGTATTGAAAAAGTGCATACAAGTCAATGTCGGGCAAACTGATAGAAACCAAAAAAGTTAAAGAAACAGAGCAGAAATAGTGTTTTTGTAAGAAATAATATAGTAGCACATAGTGACTAATGACACTGGGCAAGGTTCAGGGAAGGGACCTGACCTGATATAAGGTTGGGTAAACAAGTGTGATAACTACTGTAAGGTATAGGGTCTATTCCCAGTTGGACAGGCCCCCAAATGTAAGGTATAGGGTGCCATAGGCACAGTCAGAACACTGTATAAACATTAGAGGTCCACGGTTGTTCAACATCCTCCCAGTGAGTATAAGAAATATTGCCAGAACAACCGTGGACATCTTCAAGAGAAAACTAGATCATTTTCTCCAAGGAGTGCCGGACCAACCAGGCTGTGGTGGATATGTGCACCTGCGAACCGCTCCAAGTAACAGCCTAGTGGACCAAGCTCTCGCAAGTAAAGCCTGGCCTCGGGCCAGGCTTGGGGAGAAGAAGAACTCCCAGAACCCCATCAAGCAGGTATCAAGCAGCAGGGTCTCTATTCCTGGTTGGACAGGGCCCCAAATGTCAGATACTAATCTGTTCTTATCATGAACAGAACCCTTGCCTAACATTTTTTTTAAACACCTGTGGGAGAGCAACAGCTTTCTGTTCTCTTGCAGGATAGTTCCAGGGTAGCTACTATAGTCAGGATGTGGGAGGAACATTCGCCAATGGCCTGAACTCTGGAACACACACACTGTCGGTTGGCTTCGCCCTGCTGTTTTTCACAGTTCCTTGTAGTTTATCAGTGTCTCCATTCCCCATCCTCTCACTCCCACAATTCTTGTCAAATCAATACTGGCAATGTAAGCTAGTTAGAGTTCCAGACTTTAGGTTAACAAACCTCTTCCCAAGGGTGTCAAGGTAAGGAGTAATAATATCTTAATCAAGCTTTACAATATATACTAAAAAAATTCCTCGTACATCACTATTATTATACCTCAAAATAAACATTATCATTCCTGTAGCTAATTTCAGGTCTACCTTGCCTGCTACCTTGCTTGCTATAACTTTTTCACAGCCACATCAGGCTGGCCTTCTGGTAGATTCTGGTCTGCAGAATTTTTAAGAGGGCCAGGAATGAGCACACCAGGATTAAGGAGGGGCAACAGAGAGAGTTTGAAAATGACATTACAACAGAAGCAAAAAGTCAACTTCAATCAGCAACTGTACACTCCAGCAATTATTGTCTAGTGATTGTCAGCAATCATAAGTCTACAATTTAAGACATAAAATTTATATGAATGCATTTTTATTCTTCAGGGCCTTTTTCCCAGCTAAACAATGGGAAAAGGTAAAGTTGTCACGGAACTTTGTGAAAGCATTGCAGCAGATAGATGAAAATCTGGTCTTTTGGAAGAAATACTTTCGTCAAAAATGCCGTCAGCGCCTGCTCAAAATCACACAATACCTGACTCGTATGAGAAAACTTAAACTAGGAAGACAGTAAGTTGTAATATCAGCACAAAGTTATACTGAAATATGTTTGTCATTTGGCAAACTAATCATATAATTCTATCTATTCATTATGGCAAGATTTTTTTGAAATATAATACCGTTTTATAATAAAATTATGAAATTAAGGTGAAGGAACGATCCAAAATGTGTGTTAAGTGTATTAAAATCAAATTTTCGGATGCAACCTACATTGTTTCTTAAAGGGTTACATCTAAAATTTTGGTTTTAATACACTTACACATATATCAGGTCTTTCCTTCAACTTCATTCAAGCACTATGGCATTGTAGTTTCTTCAAAATTATGAATCTGATTTTGTTTTATAACAATTTTAAATCTGTATTTTGTAATATTTTATTGTATTTTGTAATATTAAATCTAATTTTGTAATAATATTTTATTGGCAGTTTGTCTTGAAAATAATTTATAATGGGAACTAGATGGCATAATAACAGCAATACCATTCAATATATTTTTATTTACAGGAAGAAGTTGGTCCCAATAAAGCGTAAAATTGACTTACGTATCAAAAGACGTGAAGAGAAAGCTCTTATTGCTGCTAGGATTGACAATGCAATTGAAAAGCAGCTTCTACAAAGGTTGAAAGATGGAACCGTAAGTACAGTATAAAAACGTGAAAATGTTTTTATACATTACAATTTATTCACAATTTAGTCTTTCCCACAGTATTTGTTTCTTGAGGACATTACTAGACTGAATAGCAGCAAAGGAGTGGGTTGCAAGACACTTGCTTAGCTCTGCCAAGAACAGATTAACATGCAATATAGGTGTACTTATTACAGTGTAAGCCTATTTACAGTACTAATTAATATTTCAGTCAATTAAGTGTACTGTACTTAAATGAGTTATTCCACAAAGCGTGTAAATTGTGCAAACTAAGGTGAAACAGCCAACATAAAAACTCTCTAACTTGAACATCAAAACCCTCACCCCTGTATGAGCAGTCAGCAAATGCTGCATCAGTGTGTCCATGAACCCAGTGATGTTCATTCTGTCTGCCTCTGCCATGCTGCCTGTTGAGTCGGTGACACGTTTGACCTGGAGTCTTATCCCATATGTGCATGTTGGGTGTCTCTATAATCAGAGTCTGCCTCAAGATAGGATACATATCAGGCAGCTGCTACTTTATAGGCTTCCCATATATGTGGTTCATGACATGGTTCACGATTGGACTCCCAGAGTTGAACCCTGTGTGATTTAGTGACGTGGATTTGGAGGTGATGGTGTATTCCACCTGGACTAAGTCCGCACCTCCTTCCTTCCTTCCTGCGGGTGTGATTCACATTGTTCACATTCACATTTCACAGCATTTGATAGTAAAAGCAGGCTGTGTTAGCTGCAGTGTGCCCCACCAGCAAACAAACTCGCCCCTATCCAGGGCAAGGCGGAACGCCCAAGACCCCTGACTCAACTCAAGCGAGGACGCCCTCTAACGGCAAGTGTTTCCTGAATACCCCAGGGAAGATAACTCGGAGACACAAAGGCAGTATTTGCGGAGCACCTAGGGAAGGGCGACCCTACGTGCATGCTGCTCCAGTACTCGAAACTCTTGCAACAAGCACACATCCATTTCATAATACTGTCACAAGGGCGAAACACCAAAGAAAAACGGGAACATGGAGCCAGAGCGACCACTAGGCACGGCATCAGTCAAAGCACTGAATGGTGACAGCATGACTTACCTAGGCTGGCTCCCCCTTTCCCCTGTGGGAGGGTGGAGCTAACGAGCAGGGGGTTACTTGGACAAAGTGCTTGTTTGTTTGCTCTCTGGGGGAGTTCTTTTGCACTTGTGAGGATGTTGCTTGCAATTTTCAACCAGACAGTGGTCTTGCTTTGATTTGCCTACCCTTTCTGGGTCCTTCCCAGGTCGATGGCAAGATGACATGGTACTTTAAATGTAAAGTGTTCATGGCCATTGCTCCCTTCGCCTCTGAGGGGGCCAGGTTCTGGCTCGTGGTCCCCGGTAGGCTTACAAAGGACTCTGTGACTGATGACACTCAAGTAGTATGGCACTTGATCAGTAAGATAGCTTCAGGGAGCTGATGGGGCTCCCCACAGAAAAGGTTATGATGAAGACATAACTATGCCATATGGAGTGAGGATATTATTTAAAATATGAATAGAAAAAATTTGTATTTAAGCTTGGAATGTGTACACATTCTCATGATAGTGTTGAGGAAGATGATAAAATAGATTGTAGAATAGATTACTAGAAATGTTACCATTTTACGTAGTGCAGCATATGCAGTTTGTGTGAGGATGTGCTAGTCATTTAAGTCAGACTTTATTTAATAAATACATGTGCTTGGTGATAGCAAATTTTGCCAAGAAGCACTAACTTTGTGGAAGATATAGTTTATTATAATACTTTTTATATAATTAAATATACTCATGAATTGTAATAGTGGGTACTTTTTGTAGGACGAACCTCATTTATTATACGAGAGTTGAATGCTATAGATTAGAGAAGTGACTTTGATTTTAGAATCTGTTATATTTAACATTGCTACCATTATTGCTTGTGTGCTTAAGAAATTATCTTTGACAGTATGAGCGCATTTACAACTTTCCTCAAGAAGCGTTTGATGTTCGAGTTGAAGAGGAAGAAGAAGAAGAAAGTGATATTGAGGAGGAAGTAGTGAATGAGAATGAGGAAGAAATTGAGACTGATGAGGATGTTGAGCAACAACTAGAAAAAGAAGTTATGGACGAAGAAAGACGAGAAGGGGTAAGAAAAGATTAACATTTACTATCTTATGTTTTTCCATACATTTATCATTTATACTGTTTTGATTTAGTCTATTACCAAACTTACAGATATTGATCTGTTTCTGTCAACATTTTCACAACTGCACCTGTGTGCATGATTCATACATGTGTGTGTGTGTACAAATTGTTCAGTGGCACATTTAAATGTTTGATTAATTGAGGATTGTTCATCCAAGTCATTGCCTAGCCCGAGCATCGGGAGGTGGTTGTGCCCCATCAGGAAGTGGGGACAAACTAACGGGGGGGCCGGTTCACAAAATTTTGGTGGTTTGTTTTCATTGTTGGGGAGTTCTTTTTTGGCAATTTTGAGGTTACGGTTTTATTTTTAATTATGCAGTAGTCTGTTTTGATTTGTCTATCTTTCTGGGGGCCTTCCCTTAGATGGTGGCAATGATGATAAACTTTAAATGTAAAGTGTTCATAGGCTATTACTACCTGCACCTCTCTGAGGGGGGGGGAGAGGGCAGGTTCTGGCTTGTGGTCTCTGGTAGGTTAATAGAACCCCATGACTGATGACACCTTGTAGTACGGCACTTAATTAGTGTGATAGCTTCAGGGAGCCTTTGGGGCTCTCTCAGAAACTGGCATTTCATTTCATTCAATGCTTTTTTTTCCACTGGATGCATATGTTTGATCAGTGTTGTCTTATTGTCTGCAACTGGGATGCATTTAAAAGAAAGTTAAAATAACATGGCTGAAAATAAGATGTCCAACCCATACATCTAAAAATAAAAGAATTTACAGTGTTTTGGTCCATCCTAGACCATTATCAGGTCCTATAAGTTAGGTCTTTTGTATGAAAAGTGAGTAGTGTGATTGAGTATGTGGGTTGATGGAGAGGTCTACTGACATGGGAATGTGATCAGACCCTGTGAGAGGTTCAGGTGTTATGTTGTGTTGATGTGTTCCTAGTCTGTTAATAAAGATAAGATTAGGACTACTGGATCCACTAGCTATAAAAGCTGTAGGGGAATTAGGTCCTACGAAAAAGTCTTTTCTAGATTTAGTTGGTGTAGTTGTTGATCATGGAGATTTATGCTGTTGTGTTGAAATGTAAGATGTTGAGTGTTGAGGTCTGCCATAAAAATGACAGGTATGTTAATGTGATTGAATAGTTTTATTGGGTCCTGCATTAGTTTGGACAAATGTTTGAAAGAAAAGAATCCAAACCAGAGGCCAAGAAGGTGAAAAAATGTCTTGGACAACTCGTGAAATTGTGAAGAAACTTCAACATTAAAACTGAACCCCCTCCCCCCCCCCTTTTTCTTGGTTTGGTTTCACTTTGGCTGTATATTTGTTTCTCTTCTATGGCACTATCAACGAACATAGCTGTTCCTACATTCATTATGTGGGGATCGTCTCTTGTGCATTCCTTGTGGGTGTCATAATGTCTCTGCTTCTGATGCTCCTCCTCCCTTGCCTGCCCAGAATTTGGGCTCTTGCTCGTCTGTGTCTGGGAAGTACACTTGACTTCAGGATTGCCTGGGAAGGGGCCTTGATTAGTGTAATTTAAGTACTGTATAGCTAATCGGTAATCACTGCTGTGTATGTGTTTTTAATATTTTTTGTGGACTTTGCAGGAATAATTGTGCTATGGTTATTATTATGATTAATTGGTGGTACGATATTATTTTTTATATTGTCATTTATAAACCCTAAGACTGCAAGAAGCATTGATATTTATTGATAAGTTCTAAGAAACATTATCAGTATTGACCTTTTTACAGTACAGTACTGCAATATATCTGGAACTTAGTCAGTGTTGGTCAAAATTTGGGTAGCAGTACATCTGTTCTATTCCATTTTTCAGAATAGTATGAAAGTTTACTAAAATAATTAAGAGGATTGTCATTTGAAATATTCATAAATCATCTCACATTTATTCAATTTCAGATGGATAGTGATGAGGAGGAGGAAGATGAGAGTGAGGAAGAGAGGGAGTTTATTGGGGACTTTGACGAAAGTGAAGAAGAAGATATTGATCTAGAGGTAATAAATTCGAGTGATATATTATTTCTTGTCTTTTACTAATCATAATCCTTAGTTATTATTATTTTCTTACCAGTGTTTCAAATCAAAGGATTTCAAAGGTGTAAATGATTAGAAAGCTGTGTATAAAGAGTTAAAACTTCCCCCTGTAGTCAGCATCTTATAGTTTTCTATGTTACATCCTGATAATGTCTTTGCATATTGCTTGAAATTTTATGCATTTAGTGTGACTGTGAAAGGACTGTTCCTTTAATAAATGGGCCATGTAACCCCCAGATGGCCAGTTTTAAAATCAATTTAAACTCTTCAGCAAGAAGACCTTGAGCAATATCTTGAAAACAAACAAGCATAGCTGCATCAAAATCACCACACCAGGTTCTTAATATTCACAAGTGCCTAATGGAAGTCATTACCAGAATCTAGGCCTTTCAGTAGAGGCAAAGGGAAGGGTTACTAGACTACTACAGTAGTCTGATGGGAAAAAACCACCAGAAAAGTAGGACACAACAAAACAAGCAGCTGCATTAACACGATAAGCAAGCTGGACATAAACATGCACTCATTCATAAGTGGCAAGCAATTGCTAGTTAACACACTCATGCCACCAGTTGTGCACTGCTCTTTGGGCTCAGTCCTCAGCTAAGTGTTGACCTTTCTTCAGACACTTCCAGTGCAGGGGTGGGGGGGGGGTTGTGTTTGTTGCATTTTCAAACTTGATTTGCATGCATTTTGCCCTTCCTGTTATGTGTGCCACCCAAATTTTAGCACTACTTGTTTGTTGGGCTTGCCTGTGCTTGTGTTTAGGCAACATTCCTTGGGCTCTAGTGCCCTGTAGTCATTGCATAATGGTGTGGTGTTGGCTGTTGCATCTTTTGTGTACCAGCAGCACTCCTTTGTTCTGTTTTTATGGCTGAACCCTTCCCATCCCTTCTCCATTGGTGGTGGGCTTGGCCTTTGTGCTCCTTTTGATGTGGGTTCTGTGGTGTTTGGTTTCTTCAGGGCTGTTTTTCTGTGCTTTGGAGTTTTGTGGGGTTTTTAGGGTTTTGCTCTGTCCGAGTTCAGGGCAGAAAAAGTTGAACCCGTTATTCCCACTGGCTCTCCATCCCATCTTCCAGTTGTTTGGGGACAATGTTGTCACTTGAAGTGGTGTCCATTTCTTTGATATCTCTCTCTTCAGATTCACCTTTTTTGTGGGCTTGCTGCCATGTCTTTCCTGGTGGCAGCATAGGTACGTTTGTTTTGTCTCGTGCATTGTGACTGGGTCATCGCCTAGTTGTTTATCTTCCATTTGGTACCTTGTGCTTTCGGGCACAAGATACTCGTAATTACCAGAGTGTAATTATCGGGTGAGAGCTACACTTGTTGTGTCTTATCTTCCCAGTACTCTGTCATTAATAAATACATGTGTATTTATTAATGAGAGTAGCTTTGAAACTACTGAAGTTTTTGGCATCCACCACCACCTCACTTACCTCGTTCCAACCATCTATTACTGTTTGGAAACGAGACGTTTCAAATATTTTGCAGTTTGCAAAGATTTTTATTTACTACCTACCTGTTGAAGGTTTCAGGAATCAGTGTCCTCCACAGCCCTGTCTCTGATCAGGCCTCCTGGTTGCTGCCACCAGGAGCATTTTACACTCTTCCTCAATTTATACTCCTTAGTTTTGAACTTTGCAAACATTGACATATACAAACTTGCACTTGGCATAAGGCCATGAGTGAGCATTATGAGAGATGCTGTGGTTGGATGTCAAATATATCGTCTTCAAGTGCCCTGATACAATTGAGCCATATCCAATTTCATAATAAAGTGACTTTTGCAAGTTATATTTCTTATTGTTCATATTACTTTTCATTGTACTTAATGTGTTTAATTAGTTATTGAGTGTTTTGAATCAAGATCATGGAGGTTTTTTGTTAGGCGATGACTTTCCCAAATTACGTGCTGCTGTTAGGTTTGATCTCTAAATGGTACAACTTTTAATTTCACTTAATTATAATGGCACCTAATAGAAGACATTGTTGAGTATCCAGCTATACAAATTGTAAAAAAAAAAAAAATGGACAGGTTTTTTGGGTGGATAGCAGTGGGGTGTATGTAACATTAATGCATTTTGCTGTTAAAAAGAGAGGTTTTGAGTTTGATCCTAAGCTTGACTAATATTGTTTTTATTTATTGGTGACATTAGGTAGCAATTGGCAATCTACTTTTACATAATTTTTTGTAATATTTTTATCAGTCATTTATCTTTGTCATTTAATGTATCTAGTTATTGACGGCTCAATAAAATTTCAGGAAGCAGCTAATAATCTGGCCTTAAGCTCTGAAGAGGAAGTTGACCCTGCTGATGACAGTGAAGACCAATCAGAATCTTCTCCTCTCAAAAACAAGAAGAGATTACGAAAGGAGAGCAAAGTCCCGAAAGTTATCAAACGTCGAGGTAAAGCACGCTTGGAAGTGGAATATGAAGTACCAGAAACATCTACTAAAGTCAAACTTGCATCTTGAAGAAATAATTTTATAGCAATACAAACTTGTGTTCGAATTGAAAACTATTAATTTTTTTTTTTTTTTAATATATTCATGTATTATATAGAAACTTACATGTATTACTGTTAAATAAATAAATGCATCATTATATCAATTGGTATAATATATGCTAAATCTCATCTGTAAGTTAAAAATAGAACATTACTGTAAATTGAGATAGCTTATATACATGTACTGTATTTTAAGAAACTTTCCACCTTCTCAAGTGTCCTATTTTAAATTACCATGTAATCATCTTGGTGAAAAGTACATTTGATCTGATGTTAATATTTCACTTGGAGCACAAGAGCGTGATAATTAGTAAACACACCAGGAAACAGTGAATTAATGTATTATTTAAAAAATATTATTCAGTTACACTAATGTACACTTTACCTTATTTGTCGGCGTATAAGATGCGCTTTTTTTATTTTTAAATTTATCAAAAAACTGCCCTGCATCTAATGCAACCTTATTACGGATGTGAGACCGAGTGCCATAGGGAGCCAGATGAGCATACTGGGTAAGTTCGCTAGGCACAAAAATCATTGCTAATAATAAAATATTGAAAACAAGCCAAATTATTACAGTAAATTGTGTTATTAATAATAAAAATTGTAAACAATCTGAATTATCACAGTCTGTAATCACAAACTTGCGAATAATGGCTTAAGATACGTTGGCAGTTATGACGGAAGCTCGTATCATCTCGCCACCTTACCCATCATGCATAACCTGCATAACACATACCTGATATATATTATTTAATGTCTGTGTTACGTTTCAAAAATATTCATAATTTAAATGAAAAATGCTCGGAGAAATTTGAAAGGAATGTTAAACGTTTGTCCGCCTGTCAGCTATTTGCAATAAATGAATGACAACAAAACCAGAGCACTGTGATGGTGCGTGTTACGGCCTCACTTAGTTGGTAACCGGGCTCTTTACTTATCAAACTTTATATGGGGGCCTTAGTGCCTCTACTTATTCGATCCCACTCTGACTTAGAGGCAAGTTATTAAGATCTGCAGTAATAATCAATCTAAAAGGGGATAAACAACACTAAACAGAACCATCACCAAGTGTACTTCTTAACTATATATGTACAGGGCATAACACTGCAGGTGTCACTTTTGCACAGGATACTATAAAACTAATGCAATTTTTTTTCTCGGCAAGTCCACTTCTATCTTACACCACCCAAGGTTCCCTCCCCGAGTATCTAATATGGTCCTCACGCCAGCGAGTTCACATTTCGCAGTAAATCATGAGCCAGTCCTACACAATATCATCACGGTGCCAAAACACCACTTCAACTCTCCAGCAACATGCTGGCAAGGGTCTCCTGCAAGAAAGAAACTACATACTGTGTAGGATTGGCCCATGATTTACTGAGAAAGGTGAACTTGCCGGCGTGAGGACCATAGAAGACAGACTGACGAACGGCAGGAGTAGGCAGATGGCTGCTACCACAAGGTAAGGTACAATCCAAACCAAATAAGGGTAAAATAATGAAAATGGGTAAGGGAGATAGAGAATCTGTATATAACTACACCATGAAGAGAAGACAATTAAAAGAAACACTAAGAGAAAAAGACCTGGGAGTAAAAATAATCCTAACATTAATACCAAGAAGCTCATATAAACAGGATGTGCACAAGTTGAAATTGCAGTAAAAAAAAAAAAGCCAACCAAATCCTAGAAACAGTCAAATGAAACTTTGACGTCAAGGAAAAGAAGGTTCCAACTGGGTAAATCTCCAGTGCACCCATGCTTGGATTATTGTATTCAAGCATGGAGACGATCTTCAGAAGATGTATCTGCTTTGGAGAAGGCTCAACACCGGGGAACAAAACTTAGTCCTGAACTAAATTGGCAAGAGGAACATACCAGGAACAATGCCATGAGAGGAACAGTTGAGGGCAACAGCTTTGCAAACCAGACATGAAAGGGCGGATCGCGTCGAAAATATTGAACACTTGAGAATATTGATCCAGGCCACTTCTTTAATAGGGCAGATATAAAACAAACAAGGAACAACGGTTTCAAGCTCATCAAGCCACAATGTAAGACAAAACAAAGCTTTTTCACCCTTATATACTCGCCTACCCGCTGAAACTGTATGTGCCAAATTTAAAATCCAGCTCTATAAAATTATTAGAATAAATGGGGGGGGACTTTGACAATCCGCCGGCTTCCTTTTTCGTTAAAGCTACTAGAGAGCTGATGGCCCTCAGGTAAATTTATGGAATTGCTCAATAAACTTAACAGCTCTTGCCAATTTGAACCCTCTTGACACGACAGCTTTGGATGATTCAATTATTTAAACTACGACCCGAGAGTTAGCAGTCCTTTGACTTTATATAAACAGCCTCAAGAAATAAACAGACTTTAAATCTAGCACATACAGATAACACCCCCTTTGAGATAAGACCTCTTAGATAATTAAACACTATTACAATTCTTGAGAAGTATAGTCATTATGTCTCACAGCCCAATGATGATTACGGTCTTTGAGAAGGCATCACTAATATTTAATAATTCTTGGATATTTTAGTTATTTGAGATTACAACTCGTTGAATTATTACTCAAAAACCTACTCCCTTGGCGATCAAAGTTCTCAGATGTAAATATCATCATTCACACGTTCCGGCTCTAGGAAAGCCCCTCACAGTTAACCATCGACTGAAATATTATTCTTACGGACCTATTATATATTTACTTGTAATCTTGGTCATTTAAAATCCAGAGGCACGCGCTGCTGTGTTCGTGGGAAAATATTGCAGAATCAACATGCTCGCGAAGCAATTATGTAATGTATGTTTGTTTTTCATTATTCTGGTAAATTAACACAGGGGGCGGGGGGAGGGTATTAAAGGAGAGAGAGGGCAAGTAAAAGCACTGGGTGAAATGAGAGAGGCAAGGAACACCTTCAGGCAACCACAATAGATTCTCAACGAGGAAAAAAAAGATAAGAGACGGGAAGTTAAAAAGAATGACGACGGGCAAAGGAACTGACATATTTAAACAAGATAAAACACATTCAAAATGTAAAAATGTATTAGAGCAAACAGGACCAACATAAATCGAGAATATGGGCATAACTCCAACATATCCCAGTGGACACCGTTGTTTGACAGCGAAGGACTCTACATTGCTTAAGGGTAAATTGAACATAAGTCCGTTATATCGAAAAAAAAAGATGCATATAATGGCATCATTTCATACAGAAAACACTTTGAAATATGTTTAGATTTTGTAATAAATTCCAGCCTAGGAATTGATTATGACGAAATGCCTGCGTTCGCTCTAGCAAGGTATATACGCTATATAAACTTATTCAGATTGTCGGAAGTTGACATAACGCAGAGAAAGGAAGAGATTGCGTGGGTACAAGAAGGAAGAGAGGCTGAAAAGATGTGTGCGGAAGGAGGGTATTCCGATGGAGAGAGATTGTGAACAGATGTAGTGGCAAGGATGATATACAGAGAGAGGGAGGGAGGATTTAGAGCAATGGAGAGGTAATGCATGGACAGAGAGTGATGATGCTACAGGTAGACAGGAAGGGCAAGAGGACATAAAAAGGGTAAGCAGGGAGAAATGGTGAAAGAGAATAGTAAACACAACAATAGATGGCAAGAGGACCGCGAAACCGGAGGAAGAAAATGAATTCTTCCTTTTGACTTAATATCGTGCTTAAAAATAATCATAATGAACTCCATTAAACTTCGTAAACTTCATTCGCACTCTTTGCAGCTCATTTACAATATTACAAAAAATTACAAAAATTATCATGGACAGATAACAGTAAACAACTATAAACATAGTAACAGAAAAAAATGAGACTTTTGAATATTGTGAGAGGCCAGCATGAGCCGAGAACAGTAAATATTGCTTGATTGGACAAACTGCTGGAAAGTGGGTGGTATTGTCCATCCGCGGGTAAATATTGGCCGGGACTACGCGTGACGTCACTCTCTCCCCAAACCACAGTGTCAATACTCGTTCTCAAGGGGAATTTTCTTCACAATTATATACATTTTGTTATACTGTTCTTCCTTTTATCGAACACCAGTATAACAACAAAAAAGAGGTGTTGCTTTGCGAGTCGGGATACGAAATATTTCTGAATAGGCTGGCCAATAGGCGGGATACGTAATATTTCCGAAAAGCTTATTGTATCCTTCAATAATAGTATATTTTAGCGACTCTAGAAGATGGGGTTCTGGACGTCACAGGTTGGATTCACATTGTGTCGGCTATAGCGCGTACCTTACGAGGTGACCTAGTCTATAATTCAGATGTGTAGTGATCTAAATAATGATTTTGTTTTTGTTTTCTTATGCGAAATTTCCTCGTGTGTTGTGAAGGCGACGTAGATAAGAAAAACAATGGATGAAAGAAGTTGAGGGTTCGGGCGAGAGGCTATGAGGACGAGAGGCTATGTGGGCGAGAGGCTATGAGGACGAGAGGCTATGAGGGCGAGAGGCTATGTGGGCGAGAGGCTATGAGGACGAGAGGCTATGTGGGCGAGAGGCTATGAGGACGAGAGGCTATGTGGGTGAGAGGCTATGTGGGCGAGAGGCTATGAGGGCGAGAGGCTATGTGGGCGTGAGGCTATGAGGGCGAGAGGCTATGTGGGCGAGAGGCTATGAGGGCGAGAGGCTATGTGGGCGAGAGGCTATGAGGACGAGAGGCTACGCAGACGACGAGCCTCATACCTGTCCCAGGCCAGGCAAGTAAATTCCTCTGAGTATGATATGCAAGAATTTGTGTGATGATATTCACGGGAGCCGGAATCGTAACTTTAACCTTTGTCAAGAATTCTTGGTATGTTCAACTTAAAAACTTTTATTCTTTGTCTGTCGTGAGCTCGACGCATAGTTAGGCGACGAACCCAGAGCGTGAGAAGGAAGGGAAATTTGACAAAGAATTCAAGTTTATCTGAAGCGCCTTAGTCTCAAAAGCTGTCAAGGAAAAATCAGATTAATTTTACATTCTGGGAGTATAAAACGAAAGTTAAATATAGAGACAAAAAAATTAATGTGCAGAACACTGTTATAAATTGCCAAATTTTCAGATCAAGAGCATAAGTCAGCGCATAAGGGACGTATTTAACAAGTCAAGCGATATGAATGAATATTGTTTTCCTACATAAGAATGTTTGAAGTAAATATCTTGACAAAAAGGTTGTTGCATAATACTATCCAACAGGAAGTCATCTG